CGTGACAGTGATGTGTTTTTCTAGATGTTTTTGGCGTTCATTTAATCCCTTGCTAAATATCTTAAACGTTAGCCTGTCAAATAGGATGAGAGATTACACACTATTCTGACTTAATCCCCAAGTATCAGTTTATTTTGAGTTGTATTGCAGTCGACTGATTAGGGCTGTATTTGATTAGCTCATATTACATCATCCTGTCGAAGTGAGTCCAAATTTTGTCACGGTAAAATTACCTGTTGTTAAGGTACACCGTAGACTGAATTAACCAGTCGAAACAAATTTGATTAAAGGGGATATTTGAGATCTAACGATCAAGTCTACATTGATGGATGACGTGACACCATTTCACAACAGATCATCTTCCTTTTAGCGCCAAGACCAACGTTTTTGCAAGAGACATTTGCCTTGTACTTTTTCCTGTCAATCTTGCGAAACACTCTGACGTGGAAAGAATTTCGGCTGGTTATTTTAACTATTAAAGAATATCATACGTAGATTTGATCCCGGTATTATGAGGTTGTATTAGGTGTGTCATCTTCTGGTTAAAAAGATATTTAAGAAACCATGACACGGTAAGAAAGATGTTGAATGGCGTTTGAGTCAGTTACTTGTATTTACCCACGGTTGAACAATAAAGGGGACTTCACGGATTCCGATTTCAAGATGGTTAGGCAGATAACGCCATAGTGGATTGTCGTCAAATCGAATGCCTCGAGCACCAACACGTGCATACATGTCACAGGTCAATACACCTTTTCCTATCTTCAAGGAAAAGAGCTTCAAAAGGTTAAGAGTAATATGTTTTGTATGTTATCGTATGTTACAATCTCTCTGCTCCCACATTTGTTCGCTCCCTTATTTATTTGTTATGGAATCTACACATGCTGTGAATCGAATGACTGACCCTGGACGTTAATATACTAAACAAGCTACTCTTCCCTCTTTTATCAAATATATCTATAAACTTCACCGGCTAGTAGGTGAACCATTCAAATATCATTTCTTCTGATCTCTGCGTCCCTCCGACATACCCTCCCCATGTAAATAAGGTCAAGTAATTTAAGTGACAAGAAAATAAGAGGGTGAGGAAAGTTAAGATATTTGTGGAAGATGTAAGACAATGGTTGAGATGTCACCTTCATATTTAATATCTATTCATCATACTATAGCGTAGGGAAGAATAATAAAACATGATCAATTGCTTATTAACAAGAAGGAAACATAATTCATTCGAACAGTTGAATGCACCATTTGAAAATGGAAATTTGCATTTAATGTTTAAAAAAAAATAACCCCATAACAGATTAAGGTAAACTGACGTGTGGTGTAATGCTCTATATATATATATATTTGTTTAGATTATTTCACACATTATGCTTGTTGAAAACCTATATTCACATATAAATATATTCTGTATCTTGAAGAGAGCCTAATGCTAAATCCCTAAAGGTGGCTGAGAGTCGACAGGCAAATGAGACATGAACCTTCTAAGGTATGTTTTGTTGAAGTTGTAAAGTCATTGTTTTGTAACTTAAAGACTGTAATAACAGACTAATTGATGCTGAGTGCAGTTATTGATTTGACATGGTTTACTACTTAAAATTTACCTTTTTTGTTGTCATCGTCTAATAGAACGTTAACTCTTATGCATCGAAATATGAGTTTAGCCTTTTAGGAGGTGGCAATGGGGTTTTCTATTTTGAAAAAGCTGGTAAAGCACGATTGTCGACTTTCTTTATAGAAGATGTCCTTTGACAGAGATGATATTCATTCAATCCTTCTATGAAGAATAGATTTTCGATGCATTTTTTATAAGGCCACGTATTAATTTTCGTCCAAATATACAATGTATCTGCATTGAAGATAATTTTGTATGGTAAATAATACGAAACAATGAAACTGCAGATGAATGAAAAAAGAAAGAAGATGATATATCAAGGTACTTCTAGTTTAAACAAGTGCAATTTGTTACGCATTGACTCAACTCGATTCATATTTCTTTTCATTACTTTATAATAGGTGCTATCATTATTAGAGTCATTTTCCTTAAACTGTTTTATGTATGAAAGGTATGAAGTGGCGTCGATCATCATGATAAATGAGGAGAAAATAGAAGATTATGGACTTGTTAATAGGCCAGTAGTTACGAGGGGTTTTAAACCTAATTTAAATTCTATTACATACTTGAATTCCTTGTATATACGAACAAAAAGATATTAAATAATGTGTATATTTAAAGTTTATCAAATATATCATTTAAATCTACTTATCTTTTTAAATGATTGAAGACACGCGCCAACACCTAATACAATATTTAGACTCTAATTTTCCAACAGAATCATCATTTTAAACGATATTTTCTTTTGAATTAAACCATAAATACTGATGTATCGAATGTCTTATTAAACAAAATAGGAATTATTATCTAAATATTATAAATTTAGCAATCGACAGACGCGTAATATATATTTTATTATCAATCATAATTTTAGTGTCTGTATTTTTCAATGTTTTTTTTGGTTAGAAATTGAATCATTGTATCCTAGAAAAATGCAATTATGGTGTAATTTATATACACTTCAAATCTTTTCAGCTAAAATGTTTTCTTTAGCAGGTAGGCCGACTTTCTGCTAATTGCTCTCTGCTAAATACTTGCGATTATCAAAACAGATTTCCCACATCCGGATAGTCTAATGTACAATAGAATCTAGAATTTCTTTTGGCCGCAAAATAACCATGAACTATTTTTTACAGATCGAAACAAACGATCAGAAAACAGCTGCAATGTATCTGAAGTCATATACCTGAAGTCAAATTTATAACAAAGCGTTATACACAAAAGAACCATATCTACCAGACAGACTTAATAAAAGTCTACCAACTTGAGTTTTATTCCGTCCAAGTTGTACTCTAGGTTTATCCCAGTCAGTAATACTGGAGGTGCCGACAAGGAAAAATAAAACGAGTGAATGTGCACGTTAAAATCTTTCAATAGTTTGAATTTCAGCCAAATCAGGTATCGTTGTGTAAATTGGACACTGTATGACGCGTTCCAATACCGAATAGAAGAATGCAAAACTCCATATGCTGAAATGAAATGATGTCTTTATTAGATAAAATATTTTTCTTATAGGCTACTAAGTAACTTCATTACGGTATAACAAGTTCTTATAATAATAATAATTTTCCTCAAAATCTGTTTAAGTAATAAAGTTACCAATATAAATATCAATAACGTTCATTACATACATCAAATTATTAAAATCGCTCTGCTCTGAAGTCTCATAATTAGGAAGATTTCTAATAAAGGGCTGTTACTTAAAATATATTGCAAGGAATAATGCCAAATTCGAACTTGACCAAGGTCTAATCAATATACGCAACCATGTATATATGAAAAATGAAAAATAATATCGTGTTTGCAAATCGATCCGTTTTCGATTAAATCAATGGCAGGCGTTGTCAAATTCAATCGTGACCAAACTATCATCAATATACCAATGCATGCCATGTTTCATCAAACCGGTTAAAAACATTCAGCCTCTAATTTTTAACAGTCAAGTCAAGAAAAATGATTAGATAGACGGATGGACAGGGTCGACGGCAATATACGTGCTGATTTCCTCATTACATGATTTAGCTTTTTGACTTTCGACAAAAAAATATAAGAATTGTGTCTAATAGTAACTTGGTTTTTTGACATATTTTGGAATATATTAAACGTTTTGGTTTACCAGTTAAGGGTTAAAAAAATGGTCACATAGACAGAAAAGAAAAAATCTATCTTCGAATACTTTGATGTTTAAGAATATTTTCTTTACTTCGAGAAATTCAAACAAAAAAGTGGATCGACAGGCTTATGAATATCAGAATTTCATAAATATCGGTTAGCGGTTAGTATATCTTGGTCCAGAACTACTGTCTTAGTTATATATCAGTTTGACAGATTTACGCCTACATAATATAGAAAGTATACAGGACCATTCAAACGATTTCTATACTGGTCTAGAGCAAAATTGAATTTTATCTTAATGCGGATCAAGTTACATTAGACATGTAGCCCAATCATTTTTTTTAAAAGTAAATCGGCAGTTTTGGGTTCTGTGAGTTACTTACTTTTGGAACTGTGCATTGTAAAAATAAATAGGTTTCAAAGTAATGACTACAACTGCAAGCTTCATGTCGTTGACTATTTTAATTAGTATAATAAAGCACCAAAAAATAAAGATAAAACTCTATTCCATGTTCTTTGCTATAAAAAACATTCAAATAAAATCGAAAGGTTTAAATTATGAAAGCTACAATCGCTGTAAAATAGTTGGTTGATGAACATGGCCCAAGGGATATAATAACTATTTGATTTGGTCTGTAGTAATAACAATTTCGGACCACACTTAGGTAATATTATCTCCCTTTGACCGCAGATCACTCAAAATAAGAATAAGATCATTCAAAGAGATTTTTGATTTCAGCAATCGGTTTTCTGCATCAAATTGGTTTACAGATGCGGACAGACATTTAGAGTATATTGACAGAAATGTTAAACAACAGTGTCAGCATTTTCCATATTTGTGTAACTTATTAAGTACACAGACTGCATCACGTTGCCACTATTAAATAAGAACCCACTTTTCTCAATCAACCACTCAAGGGAAATCGAGTTGAACATCATCCAAATCAAATGAAGAACCTACACATTATCAAACAAACAAGTTTATAACTTCCCCATTCAAACCACTAACCCTTCAGACAAGAAACTCATAGATGTATGATAATGAAAGATTTAATGAAAATGAATAAAAAAATTGCATGAATGAGTCTAAATGATAATGACTATAAAATGATAATTTCATTAAGTTATAATATATACAAAATAATATAAATTATAAGAACCAAAATATAACCATTTTGATTCTGTGCGTGATTCATAAATAACAATCTAATATAAATTCCATAAACAACAAAATACTCAAATATATAACCTATATATTGATAAAATGTTAAAAGGCTATTTTCTTTTTCTTCTTTTGTTGATCTTGTTTTTTCATTTGTTGTTCCATTAAATTTTTTTCTAACTGTTCACGTCGTAAAAGCTCCTCCTGAAAAATAAATTTTAAATCAATATACCCTATATATTTTTATCTTAGGCAAGCCAATAGAAAAAATGGTTGAATGTTTCTTTAACTAGTATGATCCCTAGTTTAATGTCTTAATTTCCACACTATTAAGATCTTCAGCAAGCCACACAACAATTATGACAGAAATATCATATATTTAATAATTTCACTATTTAATGTTTTTTAAAGCAGGATGTAGACTATTATTATCTCCTTTGGTAAAATACTGATGGTGCTCAATTTCCCTTTTCCATATCACATTTGCATGTCCAGTTTGCCTGCAATTACATAACTAGTGACTGCAAAGCTAGATATGCCCATGCAACAAAAAAAAAATTGTCAGCATGTCAAGGGCTGTAAGTGTAACTCCGTTAAGATTTGTCCCTAGAAGATATCACACAGGTCTTATATCTGAAATGTCAAAGGCCTGAGAACTTGACTGTCTTTACTTCCAAAAATATTTTTTCATGAAATTGTAGACGACTAAATCTATTCATATCATCTGATAATCATATCAAAAGTTGTTTAAAATGAAGAATAACCTTGGCAGGTGATGAAGCTGGTGAATTATGAGTTGAAGAATTTGGTGATTCTGATTTCACCATAGAAGGTGGTAGTCTATTAGACCAAGATGAAACACTAGTACTGTCTTTAGGAGGTATATCATCTGTTAAACTATCTATTTCTTCTAGTTCATCTTCTACTTTCCCTTTACACAAATTGAAAATGTATTTACAATTTTGGCTCAAAGGATTGACAACCATAAATAACATTTGGAACTAATACAATTTTACAAAAACCAATGACAACTTCACATCCTCACAAGTTCCACATAGTTAACAACTATTTAGTTTTAGTTTCTTAAACAATTATTCCTTATAACAGATAATATAAACAGATAAAAAGAAATTGAGACATTAAACTAAAGAGTACTCAAAATTTACATTAAAAAAATTAACAGAAGTATTTTGTCCAATCCTTTTCAAATTCAAATCAAAGCTTTTTCTATTGGACAACTTTTGATACTATTGGGTCAAAATTCCACAGAACAGGAAGAATATGGATGGCTTTAGTAACCTAAAGCAAAGACATCAAAAGAAACATCCAAATTTGTACATACATTCTCATCAGACCTTATTTTTGTAGTCTAATTTACTCAAGTCACTTGGTCAATCATCACTTAAACTGCTCCTGACCACTGCTAACCAATTTACTCACTGTTTTCAAGAATAAGGACCTGAGCTTAACTCATCTTTGGTGTAAAATATTAGCTACAAGACAAGGTAATGTATCCAGCAATAGATAAACAGGTTCTTCATTTCTGTTTTGATAATCCTACACCGTACCTTGTCTTAACATCTTAATACTGATACTTCAGCTAGGAATAGCTTAGTAAAAGAATATTTTTTAGGTGGAGAAGAATGGTAACTGTGAACTAGTAGAAAAGACTGGAAGATAATATAAGATACCTACTTTTAGCAGGTGACTTATTTATCCAGGCATTTTTTATCATCACAGCTTCATACAGTTTACCACCAGGTTCATTAAATACATACATTCCTTTCTTCCTCATTTCAGATTCAAATCCCTGTTTAATATAGAATGTCATATTTTTGAGATGATAGCTTTTGAAGTACAGCCTGCAAGATTTTATTTTAGACACTGTTCTTCTGCAGATTATATTGTTCTTTATAAATAATTATTGAGTATAATAATTCAGAAAATCTCCATTCAATTGTTAAAGAAAGAGTACAGTTAAAATATTGTTAAATATCCTAGTATTTACAGCACAGAGTATTTGCATGTTTTAAAGCAATGAATTTCTTCATAGAACACATGAAAACATGACAAAACTAAACTTACAGCAGATACATTCATATTGTGGAAAAATCCAATGGCATTAAATGGTGAGGTCTGAATATACCCTAAAAATATAATAAACTTATTATGCATTATTTATAGGTTATGTTTATTATGAATATAGTTAAATGAAATTTTAGGTTAGGTTATGAATATAGTTTTATTTAAATGAAATTTTAGGTTAGGTTATGAATATATTTATATTTAAATGAAATTTTAGGTAAGAGTTTGAATATAGTTTTATTCAAATGAAATTTTAGGTTAGATTATGAATATAGTTTTATTTAAATGAAATTTTAGGTTAGGTTATGAATATAGTTTTATTTAAATGAATTTTTAGGTTAGAGTTTGAATATAGTTTCATTTAAATGAAATTTAAGGTTATGTTATGAATATATTTATATTTAAATTAAATTTAAGGTTAGGTTATGAACAAAGCTGAAAATAAATGAATTTTAGGTTAGGTTATGAATATAGTTTTATTTAAATGAAATTCAAGGTTAAGTTATGAATATATTTTTATTTAAATGAATTTTAGGTTAGGTTATGAATATAGTTTTATTTAAATGAATTTTAGGTTAGGTTATGAATATATTTTTATTTAAATGAAATTTTAGGTTAGAGTTTGAATATAGTTTTATCTAAATGAAATTCAAGGTTATGTTATGAATATATTTTTATTTCAATGAAATTTAAGGTTAGGTTATGAATAAAGCTGAATGTAAATGAATTTTAGGTTAGAGTTTGAATATAGTTTTATCTAAATGAAATTTAAGGTTATGTTATGAATATATTTTTATTTAAATGAATTTTTAGGTTAGAGTTTGAATATAGTTTTATTGAAATGAAATTTAAGGTTAGGTTATGAATAAATGAATTTAGGGTCATGTTATGAATATAGTTTTATTTAAATGAAATTTTAGGTTAGGTTATGAATATATTTTTATTTAAATGAAATTTTAGGTTAGGTTATGAATATATTTTTATTTAAATGAAATTTTAGGTTAGGTTATGAATAAATGAATTTAAGGTTTAGGTTATGAATATAGTTTTATTCAAATGAAATTAAAGGTTAGGTTATGAAAGTAAATGAATTTTAGATAAGGTTATGAATAAAGTTTTATTTAAATGAAATTTTAGGTGAGGGATGAATATAGTTTTATGTAAATGAAATTTTAGGTAGGAAATGAATGTAATTATTCATAGTGAAAATTTCAGGTTAGGTTATGAATATAGTTTATAAATAACAAATAAATTCTTACGTCTGCTTGGTCTGGCCCCTTGTGCTTTATAATCTTCTAATTCTTTATCTTTTTTATATATGATACTAAATAACTCTTGCTGTCTTCTTAAAAGTTCTGATACCATTTCCATAAGAGGTACTGTTAGATGTTCTGTAGTCTAACACAAAAAGAACATGCATGTCTAATCTTTTATGGTACCATTATTTCAAATGAATTGCAGAAGAACTGATCTTAAGAGCGTTTATATGGGTAACAAAAAATTGAGTTCTACCTACATGGAAAGCAAATAATTGGACTACTATATCCTTTTCCATTTGATCAGATATCATAAGAATAATCCAAAACAATAACTTTTTATTTATAAATAAAATGTGCCAAGAAAATATCTCACCATTTTAGGATCAGCTGGATGACAGACAAAATTCCAGACAAAAGGCATACCAGCTAATTTAGAGTTTATAGAGAAGATACAGGCTTGTTCACCATTACTATTATTTTGAACTGATATAGTTAATTCACTATCTTTACTGTTACCACTCGGATTATTCACTGTATTTCTTATCTGATCTAATATTTTCATTAATGGTGCTTCTATACTGGGATTTAATTTCTGAAATTTATAAAAGACAGACAAAAGTGAAGCTAGAAATATATAAAAAGATGTTATGATCAGTTAGTATCAATTTGTAGCATATTGTAGTTCTAATTGACTCATAAATTAAGGTGAGCCAAATGCAAAGCTTGTGACAACTGCTACTCCTTTACAATGTAGAATTCTGAAGTCTTCTGGGACTGCAATAATCAATGGAAATTCAAAACAATCTTTTAAAACATTCATCTAAGTTTTATTGAATCTTTTCATACTGGCGCTTTACATAGATCTGGTAATTTCTCTCCTTCTCTCTCTGTCTGTAAATATCCAATGCCAAATGTTCAGTTTTGGAAATGGGGGTAAAATCATGAAGGTTTCCTTCTCTTGCTAAATTAATCTGTATTTCCAAAACTGGCTCCCAATCCATCATGATTTTATATTCAAGACATTTAAGGGCAGCATAACACTTGGTTTATTTATTCATACCTGAATTCTTCTTTTGATTTCAAGCTCTGTCAAACTTTCAAACCAGAATGAACACAGATCAGTGATAAGAATTTCATAAGAATTTTGTGTGAAGAATGATTTGATCATATAATTTCCAGACTCCAAAGTTAACTTCTGCCATGTGGCAACTTTCAGATCAGCTCTAAACCTTTTTCTCCATTCAGCCTCTGTTTCTAAAACTGGTGGTGCAGCCATCATTAATTTGACTCAATCGACTTTGATGATGTAACTTCTATAAGATAACAATTGATAAAACAAATTTGACGCTAATCCTCTTTTTACTTGTAGATTACTGTCTTCATACTATCCATAGTAAATGGAATCATACTGATTAATATTAGCTTCAAAATAGTAGGCTTCGGCTTACTGATGACTTTGAGTTGATGAAAGTATAAAGTTTTAGAAGGTCACCTCCAAAATAATAAAAAATTCCCTTCAAGATATTTCAACAAAGTACCGATAGGCTTATGCCAAGTAATGGTATCCAATTTTGACTGAAAATGGACGTTTGTGAAAAAAAACTTTTAAATGATAATAATATGAGCTCATGTCTATACTTTTATAAATGTGACTCATTGTAAGACTATCAGTAGGCTAATATTTTGAATTCCACAAATTGATAAAATTCACTCAACTTTAAATAGTATCAAAACAGTAAGTAGGCTACTAGCCCTAGATGTGAAAGTTTATCTTTGTTTGATCAGAGTTCAGTACAGGTACCAATGATACAGTAATATATACCTTTTATGGTCCTATGGCTGTATAATGTTATGCACATAAACTTTCTATGAGCAATGTTTACTCAAGTGAATGCACTGACATTCGGTGCCAACTGAGTCATAGAGGCATTGGTATGGTAATGGGCATTGGGATGAGAATAGGCACAGCACAATTGATTGGCATTGGACTGGTTAGTTTAAGTTAAACTACACTCGAAGAGTAAGATTCCAGGTATTTCACGATTCATTTCGAGGCCTTATATTTCGTACTTTAATTATAAACTAACCAGATGATAGTAAGAATTAACGAACTCTAGGTCTTATATTTGCTGTAGCTAATATTTCAACTTTCAATCAACACAAAGCTCAGGTGAATAAAGGGAGGTAATTCTTCTTAGAGGTAATTATCGGATCAAAACCGAAATCTAAATCAGTTCCTAAAAAAAGGTAGGAACAAAAACCACAGAATTTACGAAATCTTACATAGGAAGGTATGGAGATATAAAGCCTATTTGTAGTTCATCTTAGGCTAACCTTCCTTCAGAGTTCAGTATGCTTATGACTATAAGGTCTATTGAAATTTACTATTTGATCCGAAATATTACCGGAGATATTCAATCAAAACTTTGATGAAGTTGAGGTGCGCAAAATCACTCGGATTAAAATGTCTATTTTGCAAGATCGAATAACCGTCCTTTTTTTACACTGGATATACGCAATACGATTCTTAAATTAGACTGTGAGTAGATGCGCTCGAAAAAAAACCCATAAAATTGGTCATTTTGCTTTTCTCTCCGTTGTGAAAAATTTCGAAAGAATCTTTAAATTAAATGAAATGTTGGAATGGTTCCAGACAGAAGAAAGACAAAACCAGTTGATCCATCGATGAAGGTCCGTCGTCTATCGAGGTTATATTATGTTACAATATATTATCAGCTATTTGGTTGGGTAGGCCTATATATGTATGTTATAATGTCTTATCAGCTGTTTGGTTGGGTGTATTATGTTATATAATGTCTTATTAGCTGTTTGGTTGAGTGTATATATATTTTAACAATGTCTTATCAGCTGAGATGGATAAAATCCTGAAAGTTGTGTAGAGATCTCGAATGAGAAATACAAAAAAATTCAAAATTAAGATCCATCCTAAAATATAGATAAATTATTAGTAGTAATTATGTAAAACATAGGCCCATAACAAGTAATCATCCATTAATTTATATTTCCGCTTGTATCAATACGAAAAGGTTTGCGAAATTTGCATGCTTTTGTTGTGATTTACCTGATTTACCTGATCTTCGATCTGTATTAAGCTAAAAGCTTCCCAAATATAGGAATGGAGCAACTCACATAAAATGTTGCCGTTTGAATCTTGCCTAAACCGAAACAATATGACATCCGTATATCACGTCCGAGGAACGGGTAGGGCCAGATTTGACGGGCTAATTTCGTTTTCTGTTTGACTTTAACTATGAAAATAGTAACAGTGAAATGAAACTCCAAAATCAACGAAAAATCTTCTGAACTCTGGGATGTCTGCAGTCACACCGAACAGACAATACAGGTGCAGAGAAGTCTTCTCTGATTTCAGTCCACACCAAACTGTGCATAACACTCCCTGAAGTTCTTTATATCTGTGAACAAAATTCATCCCTAATCAAGAATTTGTTCTCATATATTTCTTTACTACTGACTACACTTCATCCTCAACCAAAGATTAGTTGACAGACTGACTAGTTGGGTCATGTGGGGGTTAAATTAACTGAAAAGTCTCTTACAAATTTAAAAGAAATATTTGATATGGCCATTTAGCCAATTAATATTTTCACTGTTATATCAATTCATACAAAAATGTTTGGCAAATGCGTTTCTGCAAAAATTCTGGTCGAACAGTGAGGGCAATTTGCTCAGTCTATACAGCAACAATAACCATTTATTAATTGCAGTCCAGCTACTGCTTTTAACTTGCATCTAGGCTCTAACTTAGAGCATATTTACCCGAATATTGCCGAAATATATCATTGTGTGAATTTGTATTGGAACTTTGATGCACTTTATATTGGGTTTTAATAAAGCATTCGAGTTATTGTTTCTTTCCTAAAGTTTTTGACTCTAAGATTAGATTGTGAGTAACATGCGTTCGACATAACCTCTGAATGCAATCACGGATATAATTATTTGCTCTCGTTCTCGCTTTTTGGCTTTCAAGATGAAGATCCTTTAGGGGCCTACATAAATAACATGGCTGAGTGGTTTTGATTTGACCAAAGGTTGTAGAACTGCATTCGACTCCAGCTTAGATAGATAAGAGCATCCTTTTGCCTTTTGACTGGTTAGCAGGGTAGAGCAATCGAACACCATACATAATAACAGAAATGGCTGACGATGTTGTTGTTTTTAAACGAGAAGATTTACCTTCCACGGCTTTCCCTGTCATTGCTGATATTCGGCGACAAGGGAAATTGTGTGATGTCACCCTCAAGGCTAGTCCCATGATTTTATACAAAGCAAATTTCTAAAGTCTATGAAAAAACGCATTGTGATTGCCTCGTTTACTGTCACTATCTTCAAATGTCTCTCTTCTTCAATTTTCAGACTTCACCCAGAAATCAATTTTTCTCATATCTGCATCAGTCTGCACTTCAAATTGCTTGCTTGGTACAGATCAAATTGGATTATTTGACTGAAAAATTTATCACTTTGTCATGATTACCTTTGCAGCTTATTCAAAATGCTTTATTTGAACTAAAATTTTATAAGAACTAAATCTAAAGTTATAACACTTCTAATAAAGAGTAAGAGGGTTGTCAAACAAGGTGATAATTAAGTGGTAACAAATATTTCCTTTGACCTTGGTAGGTTGGAGATCAGAGATTTTCAGCTCATAGAATTATTCTAGCAGCCAGCATACCATATTTTAATGCTATGTTTACTCATGATATGGTAGAATCAAAACAAGGTGAAATCTGTATGCAAGGAATTGACCCAAGGTAGATATTTTATGCTTCGAAATTTCTCAAGATTATTGCAATGAAAGTGTTGTAGCTTAGTTGGTCTGAATGCTTCAACTTTGCACACGTGATATCTGCCTTGTAAACAAAGAGTGGTGGGGTGATACCTGGCATGTTTATCAAAAAACCTTGTCTTGTCTTGTTGGCTAGTGTGCAAGAGTGCCTAATCTTATGCTGTGACCTAGTAGGTGGTTCCTTAAAGATATTCCAATTGGATATTTTGAAGTACTCTGTATTATGATTTATTGATTACAGTGCTCTGGAATCACTAGTCAACTTTGCTTATGATGGTCGTTTACAAATTGATGCTGGAAGTGTGCAATCTTTACTTATAGCAGCTAGTTTCTTACATTTACAATGTGTTAAAGAAGCATGTTGTGATTTTTTACAAAACAGGTAAAACTAATTCCTATTTCTTAGATAATTTGCTTTCTGCAATAATAATTTTAACGAGTTTTATTAACTTTATGGCTGTACCATTGCAGATGTTACACACTTGTGAAATATGTTTTTTTTCAATTTCATAATTGAGTAATGATATTGAAAAGTCACACATTTATATTGATAATAAGAATTTTGACTTATATGGTCTGCGCCTTCATAACATTTTATTATTACATTGTGACAAACTTCACTACCCCTAAAACTATTTACATTATTGCATATACCGGTATGTATGTATGTATGCACATTAAAGGATATATTTTGAAAAATTTATATCATTGCTGAAATGACATTGAATTTAAATTCAATAATATGAACAAACACCTGTAATTTGTTGAACACAGGTGAATAGATTTGGTCACAATGCCCGTAGTTATAGAGATGTATTTCTTCCATATTTCAGACTCCATCCTCAGAATTGTTTAGGTGTACGTTCATTTGCTGATCAATATATGTGTACAAGTCTAGTTGAAGCAGCTAATAAATTCATACAGAATAATTTTAAACAAGTATCAGTAACAGATGAATTTATGAGCTTATCTAAAGCTGAATTTGTAGATATTTTGTCCAGAGATGAGCTCAATGTCAGCAATGAAGAACAAGTAAGCCCTTAGTTCATCATTATTTTAGATTGGCTTGTTTACTCCAGAAATAAATGCAAGAGATGTTTTTTTTTTATAAAGCAATGGGATTATAATACAGACTATGTATTAGTATTTAAATAAAGTTTTTTAATAGACTCTTTACAATCTGATTAAGATTTCAAGATATTTCATTTTTTAATTTATGTAGGTTATTTTATCTATATCTGAGTTGATCATTTTATTTCTTAAGTTATATTTGGATGTTTTTTTTCCTCCATTCAGGTTTTTGAAGCAGCACTCTCATGGGTAAAGAAAGATTTAGATAATAGAAAGGACATTTCCCTGAAGTTCTAGTCAGACTCCGTTTACCTTTATTAACTCCACAATATTTATCAGATAGAGTAGCTACAGAAGACCTAGTCAAGAGTTGTCTCAAGTGCAGGTATGTTAATATACACAACTTGATTTAGTTCCCTTGCCACAAGGTGATTGTGTTTAGCTTTTTGTGTATGGCTATGTTCTTCCTTTCTTAGCAAGAAATATTTTGTGATTGAAAATTGTAATATCATGGATAATTTTGTTTTGCTTGTAGCTTTCCATAAACTTAATTTTGATTCAACTCATTCTATTTCTTATTTAATATGACATTTGAACCATGGAGATATGGCGTTCTTGTGGCTCGTGAAATTATATATGAAGTATATGTATACTACAAGGATGGAAATGGAAATGTAGTATTATGCTAACCATTAAGAGCAATTTAATGAAAAAAATTAAATGGTAAAATAATTGTAGCTTTGATATACCTTTCTTAGATGTGTTCTTTAGTTTAAAATAGAATTTGTACAATATAAGATAAATGTTATCTCTTTAAACTGCATTTATATCACAAAATGTTCCAAAACCTTTTAAACAGTTCTTTTGCTTCCATAGAGATTTACTAGATGAAGCTAGAGACTATCATTTAATGCCAGAAAGACGTCCATTATTACAGACATTTAAAACTAAACCAAGATGTTGTACAGATGTACCTGGTATGATTTATGCAGTAGGGGGGCTCACTTCATCAGGTAAATAACACAGTTTTTGGATATAAAATAATGACTAAGACATAATGAACCTTGCTATTTTGCCATGTTAAGGATTATGTAAAATACCAACCACTGAATTGAACATATCAGAAAAGAAAATTCTGACACAAATTATATTCATTCACATCAATATTATGATATAAATTTGTTCTTGATATATTATTCATCCAAATAAGATGATGTCAATTTATTTTATAAAAAAGCAATGGCCCACAACATAGTGATCTATTATACCAACCTTATTGAAAATGTGAACTAGTTGTTTATTACATTCAGTAGTCTATATAGGTTATTTTAACCTCCTATGCACAATAATATGTCATATTGATATGATTTTCAAGGTGAATCATTAAGTACTGTAGAAAGATATGACCCAATAGTAGATAGATGGAAAATAGCTGAAGCTATGAGTACTATGAGAAGTAGAGTTGGGGTTGCTGTGTTGGAAGGTTTGTTAACTATATTTACCACGAAAATTTATAACTGAGGCCCCATGTACTACAGACTGTACCCTTTAAAGATCCCTCTTTCCCTAGTTAAAAAAAATAAAGAATAGGCATATGCTGCTGTTCTTGCAAAATTTCATGCATTGCATGCTTCATCAGTGTTTTTTTTTAATTTTTGTTGTTTAAATATTTAGGTAAGTTGTATGCAATAGGAGGTAATGATGGTGCTGAAAGATTGAATACTGTAGAAGTTTTTGAACCTGAGAAAAAACAATGGAAGAAGGTTGCACCAATGAATTGTAAAAGAAGGTCAGTAACTCAGCTGGTTTCTTTAAAAATTGAAAATGATATTATGTCATATTATTACACATTTGAAACACATATGCTTTATTGCATTTATGCATAAAATTCTTATAAATAGATCAATAACAAAAAAAACAGTAACAAATATTGAATAATTGATTCAGTACTGTCTCAGTAATGTAAGCTGGTAAGCTTATATTTCAATACATTCAGAATTTTCGAATATATAGTAATTTCAACAGAAAATATTGTGAATTGAATGCATCTTATGAATGACAAATTGTTAAAACTAATAACAATGACTATCAGATACTAGAACAAGAAGTTAAAACTTTCTGGGATCAGATAAATAAATCAGTTATATAATTACACTCCAGAAATGTCACCTCAATATTCTTGTTGTAAAAAATACTAGAATTAATTCATACCACATCACAATAATTATTTAGTTGACAAAAACAACACACATAGATAATCAGACCTAGTCACCCGAGATAGTAATTTGATCATATGACTTTTGTCAACGACTTCTCTCATCCAATTTTGTTGACGAGTTGACTTCTGTGGACATGCAAGAGAGCATATTATGTTATATTTCTGTGATAGGGTCCACACTTACCTAGATGAGCCACTGACAGTCTTTAAAATGAAGGGTTTCAAAGAAAGTGCGCTGTCCAATATGCATTGTCTGCTAATTTAGGTTTATACTCTCAGAGATACGCTCCTGTAGAAACACTTGCATATTTCTGAAGTATTCTGAGTTCTAATTAAGATAGAAAAAAAAATCCCCAACAGTTTTATATTTTGCGAGAAATTAACAGCTTTAAATAGAGGTGTATTTAAAATTTGTACCATATACAAAAATAAAATAAATAATTTTTTTAGGATTTAAAAATTACATAATCACATTTATTTTCTCTCTGGCTCACTGGAGAGATGTGAAAAGTTTAGAACAACAGATTTGTTATCAATGTTGTATTACACATTTAACACCTGTCAATCAACTTCACACTCAACTTTATATTATTCTGAGATAAAACCAGAAAAATTAGATTTTTAAAAAAAAAATCCAAATTTAATGATTTGACACCACCCAAACCCATGCTGTTAAAGAGAGAAAATTGAGTACATCCTAATTATGAAACCACATTGTTGTGGGATAAATAGGCTCCTTTTGATGTTAGGACCAGAGATGAAAATTGTTTTTGTTTTTTTTCAGAAATGCTCTATAATTTTCAGTTTGCTCTTGAAAGCTTCCCAAGAAAATAAAAATACATGTAATGAAAAAAAATCAATTGCTTAACAAAGCGATAAATCAATTTACCATGCAATTATACAGCTCAAATCAAACATGATTTCACATTCTTAAGGATTCCCTTGAAAATTGTCTTACATAAAAAAATCTAAAATATTAAGTCCATAACCTGCTTAGTTTATGGGCATTATATAGGTCTAACCATACTGAATAATCTATTATATTACAGTGCTCAAGGTGCTGCAGCATTAAATGGTCAACTATATGTATGCGGTGGTTATGATGGTGTGTCATCTTTAAAATCAGTAGAAATATATGATCCCAAAACTGATGTGTGAGTTAAATATTTATAGTTTAAAGAAGGCTATTTTATGGGGTTTTTTTTTGCATGCCAATTAATTCTAATTGTATTACTGAGTTTGTTGAAAGATCCCCATCACATCCCTTTGGGCATATTTTCAAAGTACTTAATTGCGTAGCTCTAAATAGACATGACACATTTAAAGCCCTCTTGTTTTTGAAGCTTTTGCAGCAGGTATATGTCACAGAAATATATTTTTTGATAAAATGGGTTTATGTGTGATCCATGATTATGACTGATCTGAATCATATTCAAGATATCTGCTAGCTCTTGATTTACAATAATAGTACAAAATTTCTCATGGTATTCTATAATATTGATTATGGAAACAATATTCCTATTTGCTCTCGATATTTTCTGTGAAGACCATAATTAGGTATGTTTATTGCAATGAAGTTTTGAATATTAAGATGTTTTGGTAGCAGATGTGTGGAGAAATATTCTAGCCGATGAATATTGTAAAGTGATTGATAGGTGGGATTGTTCACAGTCTTTTTATTAAATATTTATGATCAACCTTATTAAACTGAGGGAAATAAAAAAGATTGAAAATCAATTCACTCTTTTATTCAAGTTTACATTCATTGATATTCATATTAATAAGATTTCAGTTAATGTAAATTTCATTTATGATAATGATATAATTGAAATATTTATTATGCTGAAAATGATGTAATAATAATGAAATAACACAATGAAATATTGATAATTTGATGATAATGAATATGAAAAGATATAAAATAAAATATTAATGATAATGACATTTATGATAATTTGAATGTATTGATGCTAAAATAAACTATGTATATGATAATGGTATTTATGATAATTTGAATACAATGATACTGATTTTATGAAATAGTATTTAGTAGTAATATAATAGTTTATGATTATTAAAATATAATGATACTGTTATAATGAAATATTGTAAATAATTGATGATATTTATGATAATCAGACTGAAAAATAAAATAAATGATAATGGTATTGCTGGCAGTGAGATTTATAAAAACAATGATTGTTCTTTAAAACCATAATCATTATCACAAGATCCATAGTCATTCTTTATCAATGATAATGGTTTTTATTTAAAAAATTGAGAATAAGGATAATGAGATGATAATGATATACATGGTATTTATGACAATGATATGATACAGATATAATGAAATATTTATAATAATGATAATGGTATTTATGATAATGACTGTGAAACGAAAAGATGATGGAATGATGATAATGAAATCAAATCATAACCAAAATCAAGTGTTTGTCCAACAATACTGACTTTGATTATATGAAATTTAAAAAAAAAAGAAATTTTTAACAGATATAAAGAATTTATTTAAATATCTGATTTTATTTATTTGATCTTTTTGTGTGCCAGCTGGTTTATTTAATTCTAATGTTTCACTATCACAGTCAATTATTGATATTGGGCTAATATATTAGGTAAATAATGTAAATAAGTATTATTTTTTCAATGTTTAAAAATAAATCTAAAATTGTTTTGTCACATTCAAGATCTAGAATTACTCCTGGTCGACTGACGAAAAACATTAAAAACTATCTACCTCAGGAAAAAAATGTATTTGGTCTGAAGATGCACTTTGATGGCATGAATTGACAGGTATTGAGATATCAGTTTTTCTTCATTCTATATTCACTAAAGATGAATCCTTCTTATTATATTTTACATATAGATGGGCTATGATAACTGACATGCAGAAGTTACGTAGTGCTGCTGGTGTAGCAGTATTACAAGGTGAAATATATGCCTGTGGAGGACATGATGGCCTATCTATTTATGATTCAGTAAGTCGTGTTATTGTCATAGTATATGATAATATTTTCCATAAAGACAAGCATCTGATACTGATATTTGAGGGGCCCACATTGAGACATTTTGCCCTAGATATTCCTTTAAACTTTTTGAATGGACAATACAATACCCTTCTGCCAATTTCTATCATTACTGCCAGTCATGATAAGCTAGTAAGAATCAAAAAAGGATGATGCCTGTAAAACTTTGATAAAGAATCCTTAATTTTATATTGGTCAGAATTAGGTCCAACATTCAGCTTGTGAAGACAAAGATACAATGTATAATTTGATAACAAAACCACACCACAAAGACAGCACCTTAGTAAAAATTACACAAAATTCAAATGTGTTAAAAAATATATACAAGTACATTTGTATTGGACAGTATGTTAATGGAAAAAGGATTAAGCAAGCTTATGATATAGAATAGGTACAAATGATATTGATAATTCTTTTGTAAAAAAGTTTATTTCTGTTTTCAGGTAGAATTATACAATACAGCACTTGGTTCATGGCAGTCTGTAGCTCCTATGCAGTCTAAGAGATGTCGACTAGGAGTAGCAGCGTTAAATGGTAAACTGTATGCTGCAGGTGGGTATGATGGCTCTGTATTCTTGAGAACAGTAGAATGTTATGATCCAGCTGAAAATAAATGGAAGTTTGTGGCTTCAATGGCTAGAAAACGCAGTCGGGTATCATTAGTTGCTACATATGGCAGGTTATATGCTATTGGTGGCTATGATGGGATAACAAATCTCAATTCAGTGGAATATTACGACCCTAGCACAGATACCTGGAAATTTGCTAAAATTATGTCTGCTCATGAGGGAGGGGTAGGGGTGGGTGTCATTCCTATTGAAGAGTCAGTTTAGATATCATTAAGATTTAATGAGATTCAATCTATATTGAATATTTATTTACATGCACTCATCTTCTTTGACTTTCATGATTTTTTTCTTTGATAATTGTATTTATGTTTCATTTATTATCATTCATATGCATTTAACTATCAATGTTATTTTTACACTTATTTTGCACTGAGAAAATTTACGGTGATTTCATAATCCAATGTTGAAAAATCAAATAGATAGTAGTGTCCCTTTCCAATGGAGGATTAAGTCAATCCTGCTGTCTGAGCAAAGATCCATAGGACACTGCATGGCATTGCACAGGATAGGTCCAAAATGAAGTAGAAGGATGGAAAATCCCATTTCATTTATATCATTTCCTCTCCACTGAAGATAAAATTCTCTTAATGTAAAGTTAAGAGTGGAGAACATATACTTAATGATGTAAAATGGTTTGAAAGTAATTTTTTGTTTGTTTATTGAACACAATGTTTCAACAATTTTTTGTGGGTTTATATGTTTTATGTGAAACATTGTTGAAACATTGTACATACTAGCTGTATTATACTATATTTGTTGATTATTTCCCTGCTTGGACAAAATGACAAGTATTCAAGGTTCTTAAAAAACATCAGCTTTGAATAATTTGATTTTGAGCAATTGGGCATTTAACAGAGGTTTCTTTTGATACTGAATTACTAACAAATATTGGCTAATAAATGTATTGAATTCTAACCCATTCATTCATTTCATTGTGTTACTATATGAGGGTGGGCTGAAAAGTTTTAAGACTGGCTGCTTTTCTAAGACTTGACTAACTTAATCAGCATCAATTGATCTGTAAAGAGACAAGATTGTTAGTATCAGAAAATGTCAAATTTAATGCATACCAAGTTTCATTGTTGTGGCATACTTCCTTCTGTGTCAACCTGTGAACTTATCAGCTCACCCTCTAAGTAATGTGACTCATTCATAAACAGTAAAAATATGTATTGAAACTCAGTCTGAAATTTTACAGCTGTTTTTCATGAAAATTTAATATACATGCCACAGAGTGCTAAACCAGTCATTGATATGATTAAACAATCTTTTTCTGTGCCTAACAATTAAAACTGTGATATCACATTATGATTTATGTTTATTTTTGATAGTAACATAATAATCATGTTATTTGTTTGTCAGTATTAATATATATTGATTCTTGTAAAGATTTTGTTTGAAATGTACTAAGCAATATAGTGAGACTTGGCTGGTAGAGAATTCCATTCCTGATCAACTTCTCTGAGAAATTGAGGGTGAATTTTGGACAGGATACAAAATGTTAGAAATTTTGAAAAGGGGAACTTTCTGTTCCTTACCAGCCAGTAGACTAAATGTAAACAGTAAAACACTAATAATTATCAGTTTCGCTCATTTTTATCTCTATGTTAAGCTTTCTTTTCTGAGTTTTACTTCACCAAAAAATCATTTTTCTGAGAACATAATACTAGTCCTATTAAGATTTATATTAGGTTAGCAGTTGTGATATGAAAATGGCATTAGCCTTTATTATGTAACTTTTATTTGAAATTTATAAAAAAAAAAAATTAAAATTTCATACTTAATTGTTTTTGTACCTTTATCTTACTTTGTAATTAATATGAATACAGAAATGAACTACATATTTATAAATGATATATTCTGTGAAACGCAGTAATGGTGTTGATCTATATTATCTTAGTGATAACATAGAATTATTTATTGGACATAGAATTGTTCGATTTTTTTGATTAATTATGATTATGAGCTACTTTTGATATTAAGGATTTAACAATGAATATGACATAGGCCTTGTATACTCATTTCCGACATTGGGTCAGGGTCAAAGTTCAAGTAAGCAGCTTCAACACAAGTTTAAAAATATTAAAATCACTGAATATAAACCAAATATGATATAGAAGGCCTATGTTGCTTTATATATGTGTTGAATATTTAATTTTTATTATTATTATTATTTTGTGCTGTTTTGTGCAATAAAATGTATAATCGTGCCTTCTGTTTCTTTTAAAGTAATTTCGGACGGTGGCGTGCAAGGTTAACTTGACCTCTAAATTTCTAAATGTTTGTGACAAAATGGCTTTTAAAATGCAAGTACAGTCGCCATTACAACAGTTGATTTAACAAAATACTTAATATAAGGACGAAACTAAAGCAAGTTCGCAACATTACCTTCTTAAAGAAAGTAAATCCTCTTAACCACCCTGTTCGCAAAATAGGACAAAGTACAATATAAATGTATCGGGAATTTCCAAAAATAGATTAGTGCTTGTATCAAAATAATTCTACAAATAAAGTGCATCCGTCACGTAAGAGTAAATTTGAGTCGATAATTAGCAAAAGAATCTAAAGTTTTCTGTAGAAATATCAATATCTCTTACAAAGAGTAATCTGAAAAACTAACCCAAAGTCATACAAGAAATGTGTGTTTCAATGGTTTGTGCTTCTTTTAGCAACAATAAAATATGTGGTTATTGATAATTTTCAGTTTAAAAATCAAACCCAATAGAGCATAAGATTTGCCAGGTGTGTTTTCTCGAAGAATACGGCGAATAAAAAAGTACCAAGGGTCGAATCTTGGTTAATGATGGAGATAAATTTTGCTTAAATTTTTTAGTTAAAGTTGTAGCGGTCCTCTCTGTTGCCCTTGACTTCGTGATCTATCCCCAGATAAGTATCAAAGATGTACTTTTTTTTCCAATCTAACCCTTGAACAGGGTGTCATTTCAGACTAATAATGCTAGGTCATGTTGCTCACCATGGATCATATGGATAATTTAACAGAGCTGAAGAAGGTGACGGAATTCGAACATATATCGACAATAGGATAAAACCATTATGTCATGTTGTATAAAATTATAACCTAAATAGAATTGAATATTTTATTGATTTCAATTTATTGAAACTAGCCATATTATGCTTAAAGATGGTTTTCCTCGTTTATTTAGTGTCAAATTAAGCAAACTATTTGATTAATTGGTGTTTCTAATAAATTATCATCTTTCTTGATCATCTCAAACTTTAATGATTGCATATAATAAAGAGTTTTAACCTATCATAAATGTCCATGTATGTACAGTCTGGATAAACTAAAAAAAAGACTTTTTGACCTTTCCTTAACGGTCAATCATTGGGATTCTGCAGCTAATTCTCTTCTAATTTAGCTAATTATGAATTAATTATGGACATTAGAACACTTCTACTTTCTATTCATATAAGTATATGAAAATGAATGAAAATGAGGGAACCCATCTTTAAACATAGCTTATCAGGCAAGGTAATATACGCCCACTGGCAGCTTTGATTTTCAATATAAGTACTTGGCAGTACAGTAACAATTACCAGTACGAAATACTCAACCTTCAGTTTTACACAGCTTTTGAACTTTACAGGATGATAATGAACAAGTTTTGTAAAAATACAGCTATAATTGTGTAAAAACTGAACGACTTTTAAACAACAAGGCCAATAACTCGCATGATACATTTTCGTTTTCAATAGGGTTCGTCCATTTGTGGTAATAAACTCTTCACCTAGCTTCCAAAAATCAGAGTGTTTACGCGCTTTTCAAGAACAAGTTCAATGACTTGTATCAAAAATGCGGTTTCATGGTTGGATGATAACAAACACTCACACAAAGTTTCGTCAAAATCTGTACAGAATTGTACCTTCTAGAGTGTTTACAAGCACTGACGCGCATGTGTGAAGCCAATTTACGCTTCACATTTCATGTGGGCGAATAAAAACATTATTTTAGACGACTTAACAGCAATTATTTGGCGAAAGAGGACTAACTAAATTTTGGTTTACAAAAGTTGAGAAGAATAAAGAAACTGTTCACCAAAGTTCAGTCTACAATAATAAGATATCAGGAGCGAGGAGAACTGTTCACGATTTGGGTTTTCAATAATGAGAGTTTAGATGAGAGAAAAGAGTCGGCCTACAATTTAATTGGGTTTCAAGTTTTAGATGCCACGTAGAGCGAAAGCAACATCATCCTGAATCTAACCTTGACCTGAAATAAATTATACCAGAAAACAAATCAATGATATTTAACAGCCAAGTCTATTTGTGATTCAAATTCTTAATCTCTCGTGTTCAGCTTTCCTAATGACAGATTATTGTATTTACAAACATCACAAATATTTTAATCTAAATAACAAAAACAAAGTAGTCAATGGCATTGTCACGCACACAACAAAAATAAAACATGCAGTTGAACATTCTTCGTTTTTTTCTCGATTTAATTCATTTAATTATAATTAATGGTTTAATTGCATATTGGTCCAGTAAAAATTGGGGCGATCATTAGAAAGAAAGGAGTATTATAATAATATTGTTAAACTCATTTGTTAAAAAAATACGAAAGTCCTAACCATTAGCTATGAAATCAACATTTTAGACATAAGTTTAATTGACAGTTATTATTAATTAATTCTTAATTTAAATATTGTAAACTGTAAACTAATTGTAAACTCTATGTAAACTGATGACAATCCTAAAGAAGAAAAAATATTCCTTTTTTTTGGAACCAAGACTCCATTGTGTTCAAGCCTTAAGTAATAATAGGTACATATGGAATGTATGTTAATGTACAGATATTGACTTTTAGCCTGCTGGTAAAATCTCTGTGTTTATATTATGCACAACTGATAGTGATTATCATTAGTTCGATGAATTTCCCATTTTAAAAGCACTTGGCAAATACCAATTGTTTGTGTTCAGTCTTAAGTCAGTAAAATGTACACGTTTAATCAGTATATAAATATCAAGGATAGATTAATATATAAAGCTTGTCAATATGTGATCAATTTGATAATTTCTCAGCTGTTACCTATTCAATAAATACACATAATTGATTAGATAAAAAGTTAACCTATTCTATAAACTACGTACTGGTTTCATACCTAATATCGCTATTTGTCGGTATTACTATATATAGTGATAAGACGATGAATTTCGACAACAGAGTAATCGAACTCTTTATA